TTCCACTGAGGCCCCGCCTCCCCGCCTTGCCCAGGGGGCTGGCAAGTGTGTCAGCCTCCCCTGGTCTACTCAAACCAGAAAGTCCACCTGTGGAACTCCCCGAAGTCACAAGTCAGGCATGCCTGCCCCCAGGCCCTCCTGGGGCGTTGCTGGGTCTGTGGAGGGCTGGCTCCCCTCAGGAGAACTCCCTGCCCTCCCCGTGGCTTTTAAATGCACACCTCCCCCGGAGAGAGCAGGGCAGGAGGCTGCAGCCGCACTGCATCGGGCTGTGCCCAATACTGAGGCAGCTGGTACCTGTGCGGGGAAGTTCTTCGCTTTCTTGCTCTGCAAAGACAGAAGAGAGAATCACAATGCAGGGATGGAACAGTGCAGCCGATGAACCGATAAGCAAAAGCTTCTAGGTTAATGCTGTAGACGACACTCATTTCCCCCCCGTCTCTGCCAGTATGTTTTTTAGGGCCAGTGACACAATCTATTTGCATATTCATCATTTGCTTAATGAATATGCAAATAAATGTTCCCGGTCCTCCAAAAGCTTGTGAATGGGTTTACTGGTCCCCAGTATCAAAAAGATTGGGAACCACTGGAGTAGAGGAGGTGTACGTCGTTAAGGAGACGTGCGGAAGCCATCACGGATGTCCAGGAAGATGTGAGCCGCTTGAAGACAACCAGGAAGCATCCTTTGTACTCAGGGAGGCTAGAATTAAATGGGCAGAACTGATGTGCCTGAGAGACAGGCAGACACCCCTAAGAGAGACACACACAAGAGCTAAGGATGGGAAGCCGGACAAGAGCGATCAGAGAACTGGAATCTCCGGGGTATTAATGCCAGTCAAGGATGAAGGATCGCAGCAGGATGCTGCAAAACCCATCGACTCCCCTGTCGGACATGCCATTGGACTCTGGGTTCAGTTCTGCAAGCCAAGCCTCAGAGGAGCCTCAAACCACAACCCGACTCCCCGCTCATGTTCAGTCTCTCTTGGCCTATAAGATTGACTTGAGCCACGACCGATAAGTCATCTGCAGGACGTGTGTGTGTGAACGCACGTGCTGCTTTTCATACTATATTCTTAATAAACACAGTCTAGTGCCTTTTTCCCTGAAAAAGATCCCATGTGCTTCTTATAAGCAAAACACTTAGCCAAGTGCATCACACGGACCTTCCAGACCAGCCTTTGCCCTGAAGCATGCGATGGATTTATCCCCCAACAGATGGCGCCAACATTGTTGGTCAAAGAAGGCAGTCCTCTTGAGTGGTTAAAGCAGAGGTGGGCGGGGGAGAGGCATCGCCCGCAGAAGTAGCTAGCTCCTGAAATGGCTTCCAGCCGGCGGTGCTGTCTGAACCAGACTGAATCCTGAGCAATGTCGTGCAGAACGGAGAACTGCCCAGTGCACTGTGGGATAGCACTGGGAGGACTAGCGATACTGACAGGCAGCCTTTCCCGGGAAAACAACTAAATGTGCATCAGGTGAAACTGGGGGGAAGTAGCTTTGCTGCAGTGAAGCAAATTCAGGTTGTTTGTGTGAGGCTAAGCCGGGTGGCTTTGGTGGGAGATTAACCCACGCAACACTAGCTGGCTAAAACGACGGGGACGCCGAGGGCTCGGAGCCACTGCCAGAGGATGCGTCTGAGCCAAGCGGTGCACGTAAGCAAGCACAGCTAGTGCCGAGGTAGCAAACTTAAAGGGGGGATTTTGACACGTTTTCGCTTAGAAGACCCGTTGGACACCATGGGACGCCCGGTGGGTCTCTTTCTAGCCCGACGGTCTGTAACGGGCCATTGTTTCTAGTATTAAGAAAGCATCGTTGTAGTTGGGGCGTTGAGTACAGGGCACAGGGAATATTTGGTTTGGTAGAGAAAGGGACTTTGGGCCAATAGCCCATTCTTAGTCTGATTCCTAAAACCAAGATTAGACCCCAAAATGCCAAGAAGGATCACGAGCAATGGCCCTATGCCTCCAGGATGGGATAAGAACATAAGAACAGCCAGACTGGGTCAGACCAAAGGCCCAGCCAGACCAGTGTCCTGTCTGCCAATGGCAAGTGCCCCAGGGGGAGTGAACAGAACAGGGACTCATCAAGTGATCCCTCCCCTGTCGCCCATTCCCAGCTTCTGACAAACAGAGGCGAGGGACACCCTCCCTGCCCAGCCTGGCTAACTGATGGACCCATCCTCCATGAATTTATCTAGTGCTTTTTTAACCCTATTCAAGTCCTGGTCTTCACCACCTCCTCTGGCGAGGAGTTCCACAGGTTGTCTCTGAGTTGTATGAAGAACAACTTCCTTTTGGTTTTTTTAAACCTGCTACCTACGAATTTCATTGGGTGACCCCTAGTTCCTTATGAAACAAATAAATAACTGTTCCTTGTTTACTTTCTCCACACCGGTCATGACTGCACAGAGCCCTATCCTCTCCCCGCCAAGTCATTTTTTTTCCAAGCTGAAAAGTCCCCGTCTCTGATCTGCTCCCCCATCCTCAATGCATCAGAAGCACACACCGAAGGGCCGTGTCCAATAACTCTTCCCTTTGCTGGGCAGTTTCAGCCTCTCTCTCTCCTTTTCGAGGGACAGCTTGTGCCTGCCCCGACTAGATTCATACCCCAGCAAGACTTTGCCCTTCACTCCAGCGAGTGTCAAATTGCCTTCTGCTCCTAGCCAGCCTCTTAGCCAAAGCCCTTGGGCATCACCAGGTGAACAGGCGGACTTTAGTCGGAGACAGATGATTTTCTCTGCACTTCCTCTGCTGCCCCAGCCCTGTCTCTTCCCCCCAAAGCCCGCCCCTTTCAAGCGTGGACCCAGATAAAAACACAACTGTAGGAACATAGGGACTGGCATAGCAGAGCGGACCTGTAGCCCTTTAGTCTACATCAGTGAGTGTCCAGTTTATACCCCAAAGCAGGAGGTCGCCTATTTTTTTTTATGTCTCTCATATCTTTTATTCTCTCTTACTCAAGGTTGGGATGAAATTCTGGCTCCATTTCAATCACTGGGATTTTTGCCAGGGACTTCAGTCCAACCCGATTTGAATCCAGCACGTTCTTTTCCTCCATGTAAGCAGCCCATCTTTTTCTAAGGCTCTTGGGGAGATCATGCGGCAGTGAGTTCCGCAAGTCAACACTATTGCATAAAAAGGAGGATGAGAGACGTCGGACAAAGTCTTCAGAAGAAGACGACTAAAAGAACGTGAGTTAATTTTTATGCCCTCAAGCAGCTGAGAGGAAACAGCGGGTTTGCGCGGGACACTGGGGAGTAGGCAGGTGCAGATGAGAGAGAGTTTCATGTGAGCTGCTGTCCAATCTCCGGAGCAGCCCCTCTTCGTACGGTCACAGTGCACTGTGGACCCCTGTCAGCCTTTCTGCTCTTGAATGCCGGACCCTGTGATAGCTCCAGCTGCCCCCAGTGACTTGCTGAACCCGGACTTCACAAATCGTTAAACCCTCTTTGTCTGCACACCGACCTGCCCGTGACGGCCCCAACCACGGGCTGCCAGCTACTGCCCTACCCAGATCTGAGCTTTGGCACCAGGAGTGGTCCTTTAAGCACCGTGTGCCTCCCCCACACATCTGCACCCTCCCCTGGCACTTCTGTATAACATGCCCGGGATGATGTTGCTATACTGTGCCTCCCTCCCTATCCTGCCCCCTCCCATCCTAGGGCTGTGAGTAATTGACGCGAGTCGTCTGTAGCAAAATACTCACTTTGGGACCTGGAGCCCCGAAGACCGGCTGGGTGAAGACCGGCTGGGCGAACACGTTGGAGATCTGCAAGGACAGAGAGGCCGGCTAAGCAGAGCACCGGCGCGTCAGCTGCGAAAACGCCCCCACCTTGCACTTTCACTGCCCCTTTGCCGCACACCACAGCAGGGGCTGGGCTTCTCGGCCCACCGGGGCCCCACGGTGGAGCAAAGCCCCCCACAAGAGAGCCCAGACCAACAATTCCTGCAGGGAACGGGTCCTACATGCGCCACCTCTTCCCTGCGTCTCTCCTGCGCTGGGGACTCACCTCTTCCCTATTCCTCCCTCGCGGTCCCAGGACGTCCGGATCACCGTGAATCAGCTGATCCACAGCCCTCCAGAAGTGCTGGGAAGGAGAAGGGGGGCTGACGGGTGAGGGGAAGCAGAGGGATTGGGGCTTGTTTAGTCTGCAGAAGAGAAGAGCGAGGGGGGATTTGGGAGCAGCCTGTAACTCCCTGAAGGGGGGTTCTAAAGAGGCTGGCGAGAGGCTGTTCTCAGTGGGGGCAGAACGAGGAGCAATGGGCTCAAATTGCAGTGGGAGAGGTCGAGGTTGGAGTTTAGGAAACACAATTTCCCTAGGCGGGTGGGGAAGCGCTGGGAGGGGTTCCCTAGGGATGGGGGGAATCTCCATCCCTAGAGATGTTTTAATCCCAGCAGGACCAAGCCCTGGCTGGGATGGTTGAGTCGGGTTGGTCCTGCTTTGGCCCGGGGGCTGGACTCGGTGCCTCCTGAGGTCTCTTTGTGCCCTGGGATTCTAAGGCACGGGGCACACTTCTCTCCAGCCGGCTGCATGGCCTCCTCCCGCTGCTCCTCCGAAGTCCTCCGGCTCGGGCCTCCCTCCCGGCCACCTCTCCTGGACCGGACATCCCTGCAGTAAACGGTGTCCGGCCGGGAAGAATAGCAACCCCACGCCCCACAGCGGTGCCTCCTGAGGTCTCTTTGTGCCCTGGGATTCTAAGGCACGGGGCACACTTCTCTCCAGCCGGCTGCATGGCCTCCTCCCGCTGCTCCTCCGAAGTCCTCCGGCTCGGGCCTCCCTCCCGGCCACCTCTCCTGGACCGGACATCCCTGCAGTAAACGGTGTCCGGCCGGGAAGAATAGCAACCCCACGCCCCACAGCGTTGAAATCCGTACGCTGGGGCGGGCTGGAATCGCGAGTCCTAGGCCCAAAGAAACACACGTGGGTAAGTCATTGCCTTGGGGTTTAGGGGCGCAAGAGAGCGCAGGCCAGGGCGGTAACAGGCAAAGCGAGAAACTGAGAGGCAGCCCCACACCCGGAACGGAGCCTTCTCCCCAGCGGGGACCCTCCCTCCTGGCTTGACAGCGTTCCCCCAGCATGCCTTGCTGCGGCTGCCCCTTTT